CTCCCTCTCTTCCTCTCCCTCTCCCTCCCTCCCCCCCCCCTCCCCCCTCCCTCTCTTCCTCCTCCCCTCTCTTCCTCCCTCCCTCCCTCCCCTCCTCTCTCTTCCTCCCTCCCTCCCTCTTCCCTCCCTCTCTTCCTCCCTCCCCCCTCTCCCTCCCCTCCCTCTCTTCCTCCCTCCCTCCCTCTCTCTCTTCCTCCCTCCTCCCCCTCCCCCCCCTCCTCTTCCTCTCTCCCTCCCTCCCTCCTTCCTCTCTTCCTCTCTTCCTCCCTCCCTCCCTCTCTCCCTCCCTTCCTCCCTCTCTTCCTCTCTCCCTCCCTTCCTCCCTTCCTCTCTCCCTCCCTTCCTCCCTTCCTCTCTCCCTCCCTTCCTCCCTCCTTCCTCCCTCCCTCTCTTCCACCCTCCCTCCCTCCCCCCTCCCTCCCTTCCTCTCTCTCTTCCTCCCTCCCTTCCTCCCTCCCTCTCTTCCTCCCTCCCTTCCACCCCCCTCCCTCCCTCTCTTCCACCCTCCCTCTCTTCCTCCCTCTCTTCCACCCTCCCTCTCTTCCTCCCTCCCCCCTCCCTCCCTCTCTTCCTCCCTTCCTCCCTTCCTCCCTCCCTGGATAGATCAAAGCTGAAGGGAGAACTTGGTAAATGACAGAAGAGGGAAACAGTGTCAAAGACTGTGGGGATCTAAAGACCACAGCAGCTTCAACAGCTGTGAAGCTGAAGATGTTTGGCTCTGCGGTCAAACTGATGAACCGGAGAAGAAGGTCCTTAGATGAGAAGGTGACTCCAAAAATCACTTTAACAAAACAAATCCTCTGCAGAGGTGGGAGAACCTGCTGGAAGCATCTTAGCAGTGCTTCATGTATTAGGCACAGCCTACAAGGCTTCTTCCCTCAGCCTGCTGGGAGTCAAACTGCACTGAAAGCTCTGAAAGGGACAAAAAGCTTCTCCAGTTTAGTGACAAACACCAACACTGGTAAACATCCTGCAGGGAAACTGGTGGTGGCAGCATCTCCATGGCAGCAGCAGCGAGCGTGCTCAGAGTTGAAAACATTTTCAGCGTCACTCTGAGGTTCTAATTACAGAGAAAGCAGACACTCATGTTTGTTTACGATGAGCATCCAGGTCGAAGCCGCCTCATAGTCGGGCTGCAGTACATCGAATGACCAGCAGGTGTCAGTGCTTCAGCGGGAGCTTCCTCACAGTTACTGGAGACAAAGCTAATCCCAGGAAGTGTCTGGTTAGACACCCTGTTTCTAAGGTTTTCGGGCTGAATACAATTCTTGTGGTTTAACTAATTGGTGTTTGTCATCCAGCATCGATTTCTCTGTAGTAGAGATTTTTCTACTAATCTCTGAGATTAAAAGGTTGGAGATAAGCCTGACCTATAGTTAAACTGTAAAGGAAAAAAAGACTAGTTTAATAGTTAATAAATGATGCACTAATTCGATGATGTTGTTCATGCAGCCGTCAGACTTCTTCATTCTGAGGTTTTCTACAGAAGAAGATGAAAACAGCTGTTTATTGTTGTGAGCTTTACCTGTGTGTACTTATAATCACTGTTGGTGACCAAAAACACTTTGGAGACTTCATTCATGCGACTCAGGAGCAGAGGAAGCTTCGGCTACAAACACATCAAAAACTGAATCATTAAAATCATTTCATTTATACATTTCTCAACAATATGTGTCACCACCACCACAGCTTCACTCTGTAGAATCGGAGCTGCTCCACTTACGTCCTTCACCACGTACTTCTCCAGGTTTTCAACGGTTTTTTCTTTCAAGGAGCCCTGTGACAGTAAATCAGGTTACTGAGGACATTCATGGACCAAGCAGGGACTGAAGGACGTGGAACTAGGACACAGGAGTCTCTACCTTGAAGTGAACCCAGTCCACAGCATCTCGGACATCCTGGAACATGCTCTTGTAGGACATGAAGAGGTCCCCGTCTTTGAATCCAGTCTCACAGCTACAGGGACACATTATGTTTACAGCGTTTCCATGTTTCTCAAAGAATACTATGATGATGAAACACTACAGCAATATCAGTCATTAACAGATCATCATCAGAGGAGCGGCTGCCCCTCGCTGCCTGAATCACTCAGCCTACAGTACCTGGAGTATCTGGAGCAGTTATTGAAGAAATCCACCAGGCAGGCAAAGAGGTAGGTTTCTGAGGAAAGGGAGAGTGAGTCTGCACCCGTTCATTGGAAAAACAAACCAAAACCAGCAGAAACACAGCAGTCATTGTTCATTTCTGCAGGATACCTGGGCACGGGTCACAGGCAGCAACCCAGGCAAAGCCCCCTGCTCTAGTTCTCCCAGCCGTCAAAGGCAGCCGGGAGCTGTAATCACTCCAGTGTGGCTCAGGTCTGCCCTGGGGCCTCCTCCCAGGCGGACACGCCCTAATGACCTCACTCCGGAGACATTCAGGATAAATACCTGCATCTCTACTCTGAGCTGTCCTGAGCGACGAGCTCTGGGCTTGGAGTTTATGAACTGCCTGAGTCATGAGCTGAAATCCTGCACACAACCCGAGTCTGCTGCAGGAAAAAAGCCCAGCTAACAAGTAGTCGTGGCGAGGGCGGTGAGTGGTGCACTGGTGCGAGGGCGGTGACACCAGCAAAGACCAAACTCACTCACATACTGTTTAATAATGTTCCTCACAGCCGTATTTAGAACTCGTATTAGTTGTTTCACGTCTACAGTTTTCTATAAATTAACACGACCATCCCTCTTTCTTTGGCTGAGTGTGTGAGGGAGCTGTGGATGTGGGCGTCCTGTTCAAAGTAATATCTGCCTGTAACCAGTCAACAGCCTGTAGCCTCGTTTCTTCCCTGCAACAAAGCTCAGTGTGGTTAAACTAATGGAGTGTTGGATGCTGACGGACGCACGTGCTCGGCATCTGCAATCACGCTCGACAGCATAAACAGCCGTCTGTCTGTGGTGGTGTTTGTGTGGCGCTGCGAGCTGCAGTGTTTGTAACAGCAACCGTGTGAGTTAATCAAACTGTCATCGGGTCTGGTGTCGTTACACACTGAGCAGAGTCTGATGTGGAACAAGAGGCTGATAAAGATGGACAAACAAAAGGGCAAAGTAAACGTGAGAGACAGAAATGAAATCACATTTACTGACGTGTGAGCGGCTGCACCATCTCAAACAAAGCCGTCACCAACGGTCGCTGTTGCTGACACTAGTGCAGGAGGAGCAGCAGCAGTCCCAACAGGAGTCAGAGACAGACAAAGGTGTAAACAACACGACAGATGGAGAGGAGGCCGCTCTAAACATCAACTCTGCTTCTTAACACAAGCGAAGATCCTACCCTCCCATCCAGCCACCGCTCACTCTCACTCATGTCAGCATCAAAGGTACACTCAGCCAACGCTACTGAACATCTTTCTTTGCATACAGAGAAAGAACTGCAAATCCCATCAGCAGCTCTGCATACGTTTGGGTTTGACTCACGCGTCATAGACTGGATCAAGCAGTGTACAGCTGATCTTCAGTCTGCAGGGTTGATTCCTGAGGTCACTTGTGACAGTAAACGCCCTTGTCCTTGCACTAACATTATGCACAAGTGTAACAAACTGTTTTTGGTTATTTTTGCTTTGCTTTTATTTGTTTTTGAATCATTACATAAACATTTACTGCAATGAATTTATTGGGGTATTTATAAAAATCTGCATGTACTGAAAGCTTTAAAACCGACCTTTTTATTTAGGTTGTTAAAGATGCAAGAATTTGTTTTTGTGTGAACTGGACCTGAGGTGATTCTGAGGATCACAAACATGTGAGCACATGATGCAGTACATCGAATGACCAGCAGGTGTCAGTGCTCCAGCGCGAGCTTCCTCACACTATCACTATGATGAGTCTTTAGATTTAAAAAAAAAGATTTGCCATATAAGCTAAAATTAAACAGCAATCATTGGATATAAATTGAAACTTTGGATTATAATATTTTAGACAAAGCAATGATTGTTCATGAGAAAATATTCTAAAGAAAAAAAAAGATTAGAAATGGAGTGACACCAAAAAATCCACTTAATGAAATCACTTCCTGAGCACCATCAGAAAACTCCAGATTTCCGTTGTGGTTGCTTCTCTTTGGATTAGACGATCTACTGATATTGCTAAATATATTTGCTCAATCCAGCATGTCAACGGGATTTTGTTTGTGCCTAAGAAGCTGACACCATAGACGGTCATACCTCTACTCTTCTCCACACAAGCCCGACACGTGTTATATTTTCGACACTGCCTCTGACAGACTGACAACAGATGCTCCCTGTGGTTAAAACAGGCAGTCCCATCTTTAGCATGGAGCGCCAACGTGCTACCACCGATGAACCCGACCTACAGAGTCCCCATTAATGCTGCCAATGCAAACCCAGCTCTCACCACAGCTGTATGTAAATGGTATACAACAGCTGGCTGACAGCTGGCCCACAGTTAAAGGCCTTTCCCAGGTTGATAAAGCACATGTAGTCTTTCTGCAGACATGCATGTTTTGTTTTATTATATCCTTTTTGTACAGACTGCATCAGGCTCAGGTTTGAATTTTAAGATCAGAAAACTTCCAGAGTTGCTTTGCTTACTTACCGGGGAGGTTAAAGAGAGTGTTGAGGATATAGAAGCGGTCTGTGTCTCCACGCTGGATGAATTTGTTCGGGTACATCTCTCTGATGTCAGGTCTGAGCAGAAATAGTAACCAAGAAGTAGCAAATATAAATACAAGCATACAAACCTCACAACATTATTATCTCCCTCTGCAGCAGTCCAAACTCTACACTGAAACCAGCATGCTTGTTAACATGATGCGAGTGTGGCACACAGCATGGGAAGATGTCAGGAATACAGGGATGAGTCCAAGAAGTCAGTCACAGGTAGAAAACTGCTGGCAGATTAAATCCAGTGTGCTCAGTTCTTCGGTCTGTAGCTCACCCAGATGTGCAGCTCATGAGCCAGACACACAGATAAACCAGTGTAGCGGCGTTTTAGCCACAATTAAGCTGCTAAAGAACTGAATGGCTTCTGGGTGCTTTAGCTCAGCAGCACCATCATACTAGAATCTGTAATCAAACTCCTGCCTGCCTCAGCTGTACTTGGAAGATGTCCACAGCACCTGTATTTGAGTTTTGACCTTCAGCACAGAAAAATTCATTGGTTGCTGAAGTAGAGAAATATTGACCTGATCCACAATCACGTCCTCGAAAGCACAACGACAACGTCAACAATCCCCCCAACAGGCTTAACCAGTGAACGTACTGGTGAACACCAGCGAAAGGTTTCGTGCTCTGAAGAAACACCGGCATGCAGCACTTCCTCTGAGCGGCGCTTGACAGGACAGTCAAGTTTCAACAGTTTTTATCACCTAAGCTGAATTTAAAGACACAGGTTTGTATAATTGCCCAGTTTAAAGCAAAGTGGGAGTAATGGACCTTACCCCTTCAAGAAGTTGAACCCATGCACACACACCAGAATGTTTCCATAGGCATCAACTTTGAGCAGGTTCCCATACATTGTGTCGAACACCAGACCTCTGTGAAGCACGGAAATAGGTGAAAACATAAACACTTGACATTCACCATTCGGTGCAATGGTGAAGTGAAATAATAAAGCTGGGATCTGTGAACCTACCTGGTGGGGAAGGAGGGATCGTAGACAAAGTTCAGCAGCTCCTGTGGATATCCAATGGATACCAGGCGCTCCACTGTCAAGTCGAAGCCCAGGGACTCATATTCAGGAGATTTATACACTAAAAAAGCAGAGAGACAAGCTCAGGTTCACAACAATCCTTCCAGTAACGGATGTCATTGTATCCACCATGGAAAGAGTCTTATTCATGTCTTTGGTATCTTGCTACAGCGGTCCAAACAAAACCAAACTGTGTCGTCTATCGTTTAAACAACAAGCTAGCAAGGTCTTCTTCTGCATCGCGGTCATATCTCCCACGAGCACACTGCATGCTTGATGCCCATAAATTCAAACAAACACATTTGTGCTTTGGCAACGTTTTTAGGGATCATATTTATTTAAACTCTACATAAAACGTAGCGGTTCCTGTGGCTGGGTGGGGGTGGATATTTCCACTTAATATTCTGTTATTATTTTATAATGTGAATTCTAAAAGTTAACTTCACAGACTGATATACAGAAAATGCAAAAAAAGGAACATTTCAGGTTCCTACCGTCATAGGTTTTGTCTAAATATTTAAATAATCACGTAATTAAGGTAGACGTAGATGATGGCATTATCTAGGAAGTTCCTTCAGCTCGGTGCTTTAAATCAGTCGTGTTCTCTGACAGCAGATTTAGGTGCAGGGAGGGCTTTTGTTTACAGCTGATAACATTCTGTAATATTCTTCTGACGATAGGCGATATATTCACGCAGGCCACTTTCTGATGGGCGGGGCAACGTGATCATGCACGGACTGTTTAGAACACAGAAGAAGTCCAAACATGGAGGAACTAGCTGCCAAAAAATACAAAGTCGCCAATTTGGGAATTCTTTGACTTTAAACTGGATGAAAGAGAGAAACCTGAGGATGTAACCAGAGCGGTGCAGACGCACGGTGCCAGCAAAGGACTCGAGCACGGCTGACTTGCACGAGCATGTACGTGTCCACCATCCTGCTGTGCTCAGCTTACCGCAGCTAATACTGTGACTCACGCGGCTAAAACATGCTCGTTTTTCTGTCAAAGAATTTCTACGTTTTGTTTGGAGGGAATATCTGACCTTCTTTTCTTGTTTGTTTCAGTATTAATATAGCTATAATACAGCGTTTTTAAGATCACTGGAAGAGACATTTTGATTTTTAACTTTTTGTTTAATTTTGTATTTGTTTGTTGGGTCGAGTGTGTCAGACAGATAAACACAGAAGAAGCCAGTTTCTCTTTGATTCTCTCCCACCATCGTTGATGGTCGACATATTTGTCCAAACAGTTTGGGATACCACCGCTGCACACATATATGTGGAGTTAAGGAGGATGACCTAAAATAAATAAGTGGAATTTACATTAAAGAAAAGACTCACTCACCTGCAAGAGTGTAATCCATATCAAAACCAAAACACTTGATCTTTTCCATGGCCAGGCTTCGATTAACAAACACTCTGAAACAGGAGAATCGTTCGGTCAGCAACTGCACGGCAGATGAAAGTGTAATGAAATCTAAAACTCAAATGAAACAACACTGCTTACTTTTCCCACAACACACACGCCCAGACCACAGTAAACAGTCAACAAATCAGTCTGCAAGGACAGAAACTACAGAACAGTGCAAAGTCTTAATGCACGATGCAGGCCGAGCTTCAGTCCCTCAGATAAAACTCACGCTTGTTATTACCATCAGCTGGAAAAGGCTGATGATGTCACCTTGCTGGGCAGGTAATGTGATGCAGGACTTTCAAATTAACATCATACGTGTATCTACCACAAATCTGAGATGAGTTTGAATCTCAGTGACCTCGGCCTCAAGGTCAGGGGTCAGAAAAATGTCATCAGACTATTTCTTATATAAAAACTTTTATACTCTACTCGAGCATTTAAAGCACTTTATACTGCAAGCCTCACTCACCCATTCAATTATTTCTTCTATGCCCAACTACTTTCTAATGAAAACATCCCTTACTGCCAATCGTACTACACAAAGTCATTATGCAACGAACAATTACACGAGAGAAAAGTCTCCGTTTTGACTTTCAACTGCAGAAATTTCTGCCCCTCTGTTTTTACGAAATCAGTTAAAAAAAACAAACCAAAAAAACCTGGACAGTCTGAGCAGTGAGCTAGCGTGGTGGCTGTAGCTCAGGTAGTACTAACTGGACGGTTGGTGGTTCATTTCCCATCTGTGCCAGTCTGCATGCCAAATATCCTTGGGCAAGATAATAACCCGGCTTTCCGATGCATCCATAGGAGAATGAATGTTAGCCAGAAAGCAGTCACATAGAAAGAGCACAGAAAACGTTCCTGGGTAAATGAGGCAGGTTGTGTTCGAGTGCTCAGAGTAGAAAAGCGTTATAAGAACCAGTCCATTAACAAGAACCAGTCCATTAACTGGTTCTTACAGTTTAAGTCCAAAGAGTCGTGCTGACTGTTTTCTGTCTTTGTCACAGCTGCTTTTTCTTTATCATGTAGACAAACTGGTAAATATGTAACTTCTCTACACTGACAGTAGGGGGAGTTTCCCACGATGTAAAAATGAAGCTATGTGGCCATTAGACTGATAGCCCATCACAGAATGGAATCCCAGCGGTTATAAGAATTAGGGCAGGACCCCCCAGAGTCTACACACAGGTGGTGCAGATAAAGATGGAGGCTTGAATGAGCCTGAGTAACATGGGAGAGGCGGAAACGGGACGGAGTTGGTTGCATGAAGGCATCTGCAAGGGAGAATGACGGGTAAGCAGTGAACATGCAGAGTAGAGGCTGACTGGCCTGAAGAAGGCGAGCAGGAAGATGATTGGACCAGCGATGTCAGCGATGAGCTTTACAGTGTGAGAAGTGGAAGTAATGTAAAGCTCAGATTAGTCACCAAATACCCAAACAGCAGACAAATGTGTGAGCTCATATCGTCCTCACTGAGCTGATAATGTGACCTGAGCTAAAGCAGAAATCCAGATGTACCAGATCCAGTGTTTCCAGTTGATTTTTGCCATTTGCAGTTTGTTGGTAACACTGTTACCAGAATGTTCTAACACCAACATGTTGTATAAAGGCAACATATGACTTTAGCACATGGAAGCCACTCATATCACACAGGCTGGCTTCAGCTAACCAGCCACAAACTGCAGTTTAATAGATGAGCCAGTGGGAGCTCACAACAGAGAACCAAACTCATGCACATTGCCATCAACTATTTTCAACAATCCCAAATGAAATCTTGGATTTTTCTACTTGCGGAACGTGAAAATTTGATGTTTCAGGTATTATCCAAGCAGGAATGGGAAAAATCTGAAAGACTTGACAACATTTTCCATGAAGCAGCATCCAAATCCAAATAAATGTGTATACGGAAAGAATAAAAGACGTACAGATTAAAGGATGGAGATTCAAACCCAACGTCAAAAGTTTGGGGAAATTGAAAACATAAAGAGAAAACAGAATGCAATAACATGCAAATCTACTGAAATAAAACTACTGAACCCACAATTTATTAGTGCGCATGTAGATTCAAGTTAAAAGTGCTTAAGCAGGGCACCAGTTTAGCTCAGTTGGATGAACATGCCGCATGGCTGAGCGCGGCCGGCTTCGAATTCGACCTGCGGCCCTTTGCCTCATGTCTTCCTCAGTCTTAACTTTCTCTGTCCAATAAAGCCAAAACAAATCTTTAAAAAAAGCACAGATGAAGGGCCGTACCAATGTGTGACTGGATTCTACTTGTAGTAGAAAGTGCTTTAAGTGATTAAGTGACACCTGAAGAAGATGTCTACTTCGAAGATGATGTCTACTGAAGAAGATGTCTACTTCGATAAGTGCTTTAAGTGATTTATTGAAGTAGACATCTTCTTCAGGTGTTGCATATTTAGACATGACAATGCTAAATTGCAAAGTACAGCTATACCAGCACGGCAGCAGAAAGTACAGAACTGGCCTCTCTGCAGTCGAGACGTTTCATCTGCTAAAAACATTTGGCACACTGCGAAATAACGACAGAAGACAATTTTGGAACTGACAACCTGTAATTTTGGATTTTAGTTCATCTGATGTATAATAATGGAATAAAAGGATAAAAGGGCAGATGGAGAAAGAAGAGAAATGCAAATCCAAGAACCCACAATGAGAGCTGCTCTCTTCACAGTGAGAAATCCCAATCATTAATATTATGGAGCTCCATGAGCTGAGAGCTTCATGGAAGGTCAAACCACATCACAGACATCACAACTCAAAAGTAACGTCGTCACCATTCACAGTTTCAGTAACAATAGGACGGCATACCTCATTGCAGGATGGTTTTGAGCCAGATCCTTTGGAAAGCTTTGTAATAGAAAATACACGCAGTATTACCACAGAAGTGCTAATATTACCACTCCTGCTGCTCTCTGACTGCAGACAGTCTTTTTATCTCTTAACAAAAGTAATTAGATCTGCCTTCATTACCTACTATTCGTTTAAAATTATGAACATACAAGAAACAGGCACAGCTGACATTTTAATACAGTTCTGAATACATCTGAGTAGCAATATAACAAAGCCCGGGTCTGTGGCTTTATAAGTGACACATCTGAGACGAGTCAGTGTTTTGTTTGGTTAGAATGAATGAGAAGAAACAGTCTTATTTCATTTTGGTTGCTTGTTCTTATCCTTCGGTCATGCCAGAGTGATATCACAGGTTGAGCCTTGACTAAATGATAAAGTGGAAAACAAGAGCTGATTAAGGACTTTCCTTTGAACTTGTACGTTTTCCATCCGAGTTCCTGCCTGGCTGAGAGCGCCTCAACAAAACCGACACCAACTCTAGCAAACCCCCGATGCTACAGCAGCTGTGCTAGGAGACAGAGACTCAGGATAATGACAAACTGATCAGACCGATATGCATGTTTTTAATCTGAGGTGACAGTAATTGAACTGTGAATCTACAGTAAGGTTAATAGTCCATATGTATAAGTTATAATTATGATTTTTAAAGGCCTTAAAAATCATAGTTATTATGCTCAACCATTATTTATTTGAATAATTAACCATAACTATTCAATTCAATGTTATTTATACAACAGTCGCCTCAAGGTGCTTTATATTGTAAGGTAGACCCTGCAGTAATACTGTCACTTTGATGCTTTGGATATTTAAAGAATGAGTCAAGAGAACTGCTGCAGCCGTAGATTTCTGTAAGACGTCCACTTCTGTTTCCCTTTTTTCCTCTTTTGCAAAGACTAGATCCTTCCTGTATTAGCTCACAGCTGACCGCAGCCAACAGGACGAGGCCTCTGTTACAGCACTGGTGTGTTTTTCTTCATGAACATGTCTGAATGGTATGCACTGGGTATGAATGACAGAGTAACGATTGGTAGGGCAGTGCACAACCTGAAGTCAGACAGAACCCCTTATTACAAGAGCCAGGCTGGCCCTGCTGTCGCCCTGCTGCTCTGTGCTCTCTGTTACAATCGGCTGATTTCAGTTCTTGTGCCAGAGGAAGAGAGCAGCGACACAGTGTGGATGTGACCATTACACAAAAGGACCCGAGAGCGACGGTGGCCCCAGCCCAGCGACCAGCCCTGAATTTGAACGGGAAACAAATGGATGAGGCTGCAACCTTCGTTTCTACTGTTCGTGTTTCTTATGTAGAATCACTGTGACGATCACTTTAAACTGTTGTTGGCTTTGTGTTCATGCCTTAGGTTCAAGGTTCAAGGTTCTTTATTATTTGTCACATGCATAGTTATACAAGTATAACACACAGTGAAATGTAGCCTGACACGCTCCTCGACATGTGCAAAAATTGGGGGGGGGTTTGTACTGTTCAGTGGTAATTATGTTACGTGTTTCGTGTCATTTTAGGGAGACAGTGTAATGGATTCATTTCTCCTGGGAGTAATTAAACAATGTGCTGCATTACGTTTTAGTGTTCTGCGTAATAAACCCAACACCGAGCACAACAAAGACAGGAAAGACCTCCAACGTGCACAAACATTTGACCACGCAGCATGCAACTCAAGTCTTTGATATGCTGCAGAAATGGCGGCGGCTCTCCAAGCAGAGCCAATAAGAACCCAATGAGAGAGCGTGATATTGATCAGGGAATCAGAATCACTAAACTCTAATGGATTCCCATCCAAGACACCGTACACTCGTAAAATTCACTTCATGCTGAAATTTAAATGTTGCCGTTTTATTTATGACAAGTGGAAAACTGTACATAAAATACTTGTGTGTATTTTCTACCAACTTGCTTTAACTTCAGCTACAACTGCTTGAAGTTAACTATGTTCCATGTTTCTTTAAGCTGCTTAAATGTACGTCCATTTTTTTTTTGATCACATATCCAATCTGAAATACTGTACTGTGCAAAAGTCTTGAGCCGGTGCTAGTTTCGTTACGTTTTATTTCCAAGGAGCCCGACTTGATCATTTCTTAAATGTGATTTTGAACAACACTTTTCACCCATTTCACTCCATCCAGCATTCTCACAGGAACGTTTCAGCCAGTCAGCTAAAACTTAGTGTAACTTGACACTGTGTCCATCTTCAAAATATTTGAGGAAACTGGACAAAAGAAGAAGGGGCAGGTCTAAAACCCATGTGACCCGATGTGATGTCATTAAAGAATGATGACACTGCATCCTCCCAGTCCACAGCCTTCTGAGCAAACATGCAAGTACGAACTTGAATATTTGGGTACAGAGAAAAATGGCTAAAGTCATGACACAACAGAGTAAAAATAACAAAGTCAAAGGTCAGCAAAGCCAAACACAGGCGCCATCTTCTAAATCTGGTCTGTTGGTCTGCAGGCACTAAAGCTGCATGAAACACATAAAAAGGGCAGCAGCGTACTAACGACCCGATATCTCGATGCACGCTGCAATAGGTGTAGGCTGCCGGGGATTCCCATGATGCACTGGGTGTTTCTTCTTCACTCACTATGTTGTTAACAGACCTCTCTGCATTTAATCATACTTGTTATTAACCTCTGTCTCTCTTCCACAGCATGTCTTTATCCTGTCTTCCTTCTCTCACCCCAACCAATCACAACAGATGGCCCCGCCCCTCCCTGAACCTGGTTCTGCTGGAGGTTTCTTCCTGTTAAAAGGGAGTTTTTCCTTCCCACTGTCGCCAAAGTGCTGCTCATAGGGGGTCATATGATTGTTGGGTTTCCTCTGTATGTATTACAGTAGGGTCTACTGTACGATATAAAGCTCCTTGAGGCGACTGTTGTTGTGATTTGGCGCTGTGTAAATAAAGTTGAATTGAATCAATGGCCATGAGTCCCATTCACAGAGAGTTGGGGACGGCTACAATCACAATATTGTAAGATGGTGACAGATGTACCCTCATGGAATGCAGAACTGGTCTTTGCAAAATACTTTTACATGTAGTCAAACTGTATTGAATTTATGTGTGGATGTCAGCACATTTTGTGAATAGTTTAAAACACTGTGTTCATGCTGTGGATTCTATATATACAAGAACTGGCCTGGGGTTGGGTGGCTGTAGTTCAGGAGGGGCAGCAGATCATCAACTAATCAGAAGGTTGGCGGCTAAAAACTGCAGCTGTTGCCAGAGGGTGGATTTTCTGCATTCATAACTCGCAAGTGATCAACATCCCCAGCATCGCTGGTTGGAATACTGGTTACAGTTGTGTAATATATGCTCCACAAACAAATGTGTGCAACTTTAGAGCACTCACAAACAATCTTAAAATTCACACATACATTCAGCACAGTCCCAAAACACTGGACAATGAGGTAAAAGCAGACCTGCACAGAACAACACACAGCATCCTGTAGCAGAGTGATGCTGACAGAACACAACAAAGACGGCCAGGATCAGGAGAACAGCTCGGGAACGAAGCCCGGAAAGCTGAAAGCATGCAGGTGCTCACTCCAACGTGGACTTCCAAGCTTGTTACAACTGCACACATTCTCCATGCAAACTATGCTAAAGGAGAGGCGGCTCAAGACTTTCACGCAGCACTGTGTAACTGCACATTTTATGAGCATCAGCGGACAGACTACCATCTACCTGTGGTGGGCTTCACGACGATACTTCTTCATGGCCACACCGTCCATGTTGGCTGGAAGAGCAGCGAAGTTCTGCAGACGGTCGCTCCACGAGGTCGTCATCTTTAACCGTTACTGACGTTTCTGTAAGAAAAGACACCGAATCGTTTAAACAGCCCAGCTGGCTCTTTGCGTCGCACCGAGAGCATTAACGAGGACGCTTCGGCGTCTCCCTGTTACACCCACGGCCCCTCACGTCCTTTAACGTCGTAACGCCTCAAATCTCACTTTTTGATGATGACCCACACCCTCTCACACAGCCCTTTTCCACTATCACCCACTCGGGTTTAGGGGCTTCCTCTGTTTATTAAGGCCATGTGGATTGGACTGTTAACGGCACATGCGTATTTTAAACAAGAGCAGAAGGCAGGTTCCGGTAAAGTTCAGCTTCATCTTACAGAGTAAGTTCCGATGCTGCAGCTGACAGCACGGCGTGTAACCACACTCCGAGCGCCCACGCACTGAGAGCTCCAGCTGCCCTCGAACAAAGTCACAAGTCGCAACAACTTCACAGACCAGACGCTGTTAAGATAAAAAGCAGTTTTACACTTTATGCAGAGAATGACAAACAACTCACCGTCGTTTCTAGTTTTAACTTGGTACAGTGTATGGCGCATGCGCAAATCTTTGCAGCTGCTTCCTGGTCTTCTCTGTTGTTATTGCAGTTTCCTTTTGCACCGAATGACTTCACCGCCCTCTCCTGGAGCTTCTGAATACTTGGCCCGTGTGCCCGCCTCGACACCTCCGTGGACAGAAATGTACACGCACAAAATCTGCCGTAAAATCCACAAACGACAATGTTTTTCTGCTTTTTTCATAAATCACTGAACCAACTTGAGCCCTTTTTAAAATGATCAAAGAAAATTACTTTCAGGATATTAAGCCTTGAAAAGCCTGCTTAAACATTTCTGCATTTTAAAAAACATTGTTCTTTTTTATCTGTTTCTCTCAAACACGCAGTCCTGTGGAAGAGCAACAGACTGGTGTTGCGGCATGGACGTAGCCCCCAAAAAGGACAAAGAGAAAGTCCGCATCTGCGTGGACATGACACCGTTAAATGAGTCAGTGTGTCGTGAAAGATCCTCCCCTCTGTAGACCAAACACTAGGCATGCTCACAGGTGCGCAGTATTTCTCCAAGCTCGATGCTAACACGGGCTTTTGGCAAATACCGCTGGCCAAAGAATCTGCTCTCCTCACCACATTTATTACGCCTTTTGGTAGATACCATTTCAATCGTTTGCCATTTGGTGTTTCCAGTGCACCGGAGCATTTCCAAAACATGGTGGTGACGGAAGTGACAGCCGGCCTCGCGGGAGTCGTGTGCCACATGGACGACATCCTTGTCTGGGGATCCACGAGAGAGGAGCACGACATGAGACTCCACGCTGTCCTCGTCCGTGCAGAGAAGGCGGGCGTCACCCTGAACATGTCAAAATGTGAGTTTGGCAAAAGAGCAGTGAAATTATTAGGACTCATTGTGTCATCTGAAGGCATGAGTCCTGACCCTGACAAATATAGTGCGGCGCAGAATATGAAAGAGCCAAGCACCGTGAGTGAGCTTAGGAGCTTCTTAGGAATGGTGAACCAGCTGGGGAAATTCATCCCAAACCTTTCTGAGAAAGACAAACCACTGAAAGACTTGCTTTCAAATAAAAACGTGGTACTGAGGGCACGAGCAACAAAACACGTTTAGCAGTTTAAAAGGAGAACTGTCATCCGCTCCAGTACTGCAGCTTTACGACCCAAACAAACCCCAAAAGATCTCCACAGATGCCTCTTCATACGGGTTGGGGGCAGTTTTGCTACAGAAAGACAATGACGTGTGGTCACCAGTCGCGTGTGCCTCACGATCATTGACAGCCACAGAGCAGCGCTACGCTCAGCTGGAAAAAGAAGCGCTGGCGCTCACCTGGGCCTGTGAAAGATTCAGTGACTTTATTCTAGGGCTACACTTTGAGCCTGAGACCGACCATAAGCCACTTGTGAGCCTACTTGGAGGGCAAGCCTTGGATTTGCTTCCACCGCGGATACAGAGATTCCGCATGCGCCTGATGAGGTATTCTTACACTATAAGGCACATTCCAGGCAAAAGCCTCACCACAGCCGACAAGCTGTCACGGGTACCGCTGGCAGGCAGCGTGATGCCCAGAGACAATGATCTTATGGAGGACACCAATATTTACGTGGATGCAGTGCTGGAGGGCCTTCCTACTAGCAGCAAATACCTTGCAGATCTCCGCGAGCAGCTACAGTCTGAAGTTCTGTGCAGAGGGCTGGCCTGACAGGAACCAGCTGCAGGGAGTGGTAAAACACTACTGGTCAGAAAGAGCAGTTTTGAGTGTACACAATGGACTACTACTGCGAGGCACAAGGTTGGTCATACCTGCAAACATGCGAAATGCAGTTTTGGACAAAATACACGAGGGTCACCAAGGGGTAGTTAAGTGCTGAGAACGTGCCCGACAAGCAGTGTGGTGGCCAGGCTTAAGTAATCAGATCCGTGAACTTGTCCTTAAGTGCAGGCTGTGCATACAGGAGAGAGTCAACGTGAGGGAACCTCTTGTGCCCACACGTTTACCTGAGAGGCCATGGCAGAACGTAGGAGCTGATTTGTTCACACTAAAAGACAAAAACTACCTGTTGGTAGTAGATTATTTCTCGAGATATGTCGAGATTGCTCAATTCAGCCCAACTCGTTCAGCCAATGTGATTGTGCATTTAAAGTTAATATTTGCACGCCATGGAATACCTGAAGCATTGATTACCGATAATGGCCCACGATTTGCATGTCAAGAAATGAAAGACTTTGCAAAGGACTACTGTTTTGAGCATGTCACCAGTAGTCCCAGGTACCCGCAGAGCAACGGCGAGGTGGAGAGAGGCGTCCAGACCATCAAAAATCTCCTCAAGAAAGCCAGCGATCCATACAAGGCATTGCTGGCATGCAGAACAACAGCACTGGTGAATGGCTACAGCCCGGCTCAACTTCTCATCATACATCGTACATCATCAGTGGACCCCAAGGGACAATCAGAAGGAACTGCGTTCATCTTGTGCCGATCCCCCAAACAGAGACTCAAATCGACGCAAAACAGATCCAGTCCACCCCTATAGAGGCTGTTTCTGAGCCAAGCGCACCCCATACAGCAGGTGTGGTTAGAACCTGGTCTGTAGAGAAGTGATTAAACCGAAAAGACTTGATCTGTGAAGCTGATTGTTTGGAAAGGGAAAAGTTGTATTTCGAAACGCTAAGTTTCATTTTTGAGAATAGCATGTTTAAAAGGACAAGGTTTAACTTGTGTTAAGAGTGTAAGAGAAAGTGTTTATGAAAATACCAAAGTTTATGTTTCCTGAAATGCTGGGGTATGTCTGTATTGAAAAAAAATATTATGCAGTTATGTTTTGTTTGAAGAGCAAACGAATGTACCAGCCTAACTTCAGTAAGGGGGATGTGGTGTAATCGATACTGATGTACATCATGCGCCACTAGGTGGCAGTACTTACCCACTCAACGGGAAGTGTGTGGCATGTAAAACAGCACGAGAGTAAGCTGTATTAAAGAAAGATTGTTGTTGCTCCATGTTATCGCTTGAGTGGGAGTTTTATTCAAGAGCCCAACACAACCTCAGATATGATCTTATCAAAGCACAGATCTTGGTAATGATACAGAAACAGTTCTACAGTATGACGCAGTGGCCTTCTTCATCTGTAAATGCAAGACGTTTGGAATCAAAAGGATTATTCATGGCCAAACCTCAGTGGCCACACGACCAGCTCAAGTGACTGAAGTAGAAGAGCCTGTAGGTCTGGATCAGGGTGGAAGGGCAAAGTGAACCAGGTAGTAATTCTGATGAGCATTACTCTGTGGCAAGAGGACAACCTTCCAGAAAGACATCTATTTCTGCAACACCAGTCAGGCCTGGTCACTCCTCAGTAAAAAGCACATTACAGCCCACCAGGAGTTTTGCAAAAAGGCACCTGAAGGACTCTCAGGACATGGTCTGAGGGAACTAAGGCCTATGCTGTGACTACAGTGGAGGATGGTGGGGACAGCATCACATGGAGCCATGACAGAGACGCAGCTATCAAACTAGCAGGCGATGTGATGTTACACACCACAACAGCAGATGCAAGGACTCCCGTAGCCTGAACAACCTTACCCTTTAGTGATCGCTTGTCCCCCTGATGTTCTTAACAACTTTGTTATGAGTGATGAATATTTTGATTAGGCAAACATGACAAAATGGACGTGTGTGTGACCTGTAACAATAATCTGTTTAAAAGCACTGAAGGCCTCCGATTCACTGAGCTGAGTTTGTATCCGAGACACATCTCATGCCCTGTGTCTGCTGCAACAACAAACAAAGGCAGGTCCTTCTCCACCTCACCTATTCTCATTTGCTTTTAAGGAGACTTCTTCTGTCCATTGTTGAACGTTTTGCTAACTAATCATCACTAGATCAGCAGCACAAACACTGTTCAGTTCAGTTTGTTGAACCATGAGCTCAGATGCTGATATTAGGTTGGACGTACCAGAGGGATGATCGGCTGTGCTGATATGATTCGGGTAGTTTGGTCAGACACAGATGGGAGTGTGTCACGTGTGACCAGGCCTGTCATAAGCAGATGCATGAGTAAAGCTAAACAATTATCTTATGAGACCTGGGGCTATTCAAAAATAATAATAATAATGGATTGGATTTATATAGCGCTTTTCAAGGCACCCAAAGCGCTTTACAATGCCACTATTCATTCACACATTGGTGGAGGCAGCTACAGGTGTAGCCACAGCTGCCCTGGAGCAGACTGACAGAAGCCAGGCTGCCATATCGCGCCATCGGCCCCTCTGGCCAACACCAGTAGGCAAGTAGGGTAAAGTGTCTTGCCCAAGGACACAACGACCAGGACAGAGAGCCCAGGGATCGAACCGGGATTGAACATGCGATTCCCAACCCCCTGAGCCACGGTCACCTAAAAAAAACATCTGGAGCTCAAACCTTTAGAGCACCTGTCACCTTTCTAACTCCAATCCAGCAAACAGCAAACGTCCTGAAAAGCAACTTCACACCTATAGGACCACTTCCAGTGCACAAACTGGAATCAGTTTTCATCTCAGGACCTAGAAGAATACCAGTCACCTTTTTTTCCAAGCTCCTTAAATTCACAAAACTACTGTACTCGTGTACATCAGATGACATGTCGACAATGTCACCATCATTAAAGACATCTGTCATGCTCCCTGTGTCTGCCTGGCCAGCCCCCCGAGGCTACATGTTGATTGTGTTCATCTGGACGTAGCGTTTTGTGGGAGAAACGTTTCGTCACTCATCCAAGTGACTTCTTCAGTCTGACTGAAGAAGTCACTTGGATGAGTGACGAAGGTCACACGTGTCCACTGTACCTTTGGGCCTCTGACTACCAAATGAGAATCTTTTAAATACATCAGCGTACTTAAGTATAGTTGTCAGCCATGTACATCCACGTGTGTCAGCTGTTTCCCCATGTGTTCCCACTTCCCCTGATCACCTCCTGTGTATTTAAGTCCTCTGTTTTTTGTGTTTCATTGTCAGGTCGTCTGTTATTCTTGCCACAGTTTTCATAGTTGCTCATTGCATTCACACTTTTCTTCATAGTTTGTCTAGTTTTCATGGTTTTTGCTGCTTTCAGCCAAAATAAAGCCTCGCCTTTTGTTCACCTGCAACTCTTCTCTCAGTATCTGCTTCTGGGTCCTGCTCACAACACATCGGCGTACCCCGCCGTGACAATGCCACCTGTGCAACAAGTCTAATCGTGAAATTTCCTTATTACTAAATATTCAGCAGACAATTGTTAGTGGTATTATAACACACTGGATGTCAACAACTCAGCCACAGCAGGGTCAGTGGATGCTGAGGTGCATAGTCTGCAGAGGTTGCCAACTTTCTGCAGAGTCAATCACTACAGACCTCCAAACTTAGCTTCTGAACAGTGCACAGAGAGCCTCGTGGAATGAGTTTT